CCCCCCTCCCCTCCCACACACACACACACACACACAAATAGCGTTTCAATCGGGACCACGGAATATCGTTCACTTTAAACGATTGCTCAAATAAAGCGTGTTCACTTTAAGCGGACTCCAGTGTATCTATCTCTGATAGGACCGGACCAAACAAGCGGAGAGTGTAGGGAGCTCAAGTCCTCAAACACCCCTTCAGGAAATCGAAGCAGGGGAATCTGTACCTGTAACATGGTCTAACGAGATACCAACTGAGCTTTTGGCAAGCCCTGTCAGCCCTTTTTAATAAGACCATTTTGTACTGAAAACTTAGACGCTACCAAAATTGTTTTGTTTGTTATATTGTTTGTTTTATTATTCGTTTTATCGCCCAGACGCAATCTTTTCAAAGCCTGCCTAATTGCTTTAAACTTGATACGTGTGGTCAACTGCTGAGACAAAAATTGCTGTTTTAAAACAGGGGCCAATTTTATTCAGATTTTAATTTCAATCCAACCCTTTTCTCTTAACTTTTGACATGTTCTCATTCCATGGCCGTACGTAATTATGAAACACATAATGGGTATGACAAGTATAAAGAAATCACAAAGGAAAAAAATGTGAGCCACAAACTCAAAATTATTGACTTACTTTAAAAATCCTAGTTCTACCAAACGTCTCAAATGCTTATCATTTTTTTGCGTTATTGAAAATAGTGAACTCTTGTGTGTGCTTCTCGGCTGCACAGTCTATAGACCAAGATGGTACATTTTAATGTAAACTTTTAGAATGATCAGTGGTCAAAAAAAGTCCCGGGGCTTCATTTAAAAATGCGGTTTTCTTTCTTTAAAAAAAAAAAATGAGACTGCCCGTGGGATGTGCACTACTCGGCAGTTAAATCTGAAATAATTTCAAACCGAACATATATCCTGAGTTAAAAGCTCTTTTCAAAAGGACAAAGCTGAAAAAGAATAAAAGTTCATAGTGTTTGGAATCCTAAACATTGATTCTCTCTTAACTTATAAAAATGATTTCTAACGGGGGTTTTTTCACAGTGATCTCACCTGGTTTTAAGAAATAGTGCAGGAATTTCAATACAAGTTGTGTTTCTAGCGATGAAACGATTGATGAATTACGCGAAGAGACCATTCAATAAATATAGAAACATTAACACTATAATGGAAAATGCTACAGTGTGCAGAATGGTAATTTAAACGCCATACAGATTTTGGGGATTTTGTTTACTGTTGAGTAAAGGTTGTAAATAAGTTTATTCAATGTTTAAGGCCATTGGCCCACATCACATCATATAAAACACTCATTTGTTCAGTAAAGGGAAGAAGCACATCGACACCAAGAGAAGCATCTCGTGCCGGTAAAAAGCAAGATAAACAGACATAGAAAACAGAGGAGTGGTAAAGCAGTAGAACCTATCACTAACACCCTCCAACCACACGCCCACAAGCAAGATAAATACGACAAGAACATGGACAGAGTAGAAGAGATAGACTGCACCACAGCACTCTTGTATCAACACTATACTTCAACAGAAACTCTAACCATTGTTTTTGTAAGAAAATAGAAAGACCAATGTATGAAAACACGTCTGAAAAAAACAACAACCCAACATCTTAACCTTTTTAATTAAGAAGTCAAACCCAACGATTTTATAATAGTGCAGACACCGTCTACTAGTCTATCGGAGATAGACACTCAAAACATTACACACACACACACACACACACACACACA